GGAAAGTGTAGGGATCATGTGTTAGATGGCCAAGTATATGACCCCTCAAGCCACCGTAGATGCCAAAGCACTTCCAGCTCCGAACAGCAGCGCCATCGACTCGCCACGATATCCGAGCGTCTGTCCTAAATGCGGCTTGCTACTTCTTCCGTATCCCCCAAAACTTCACCTTTGCCCAAACCGGTAACCCAAGACCCCAAAACGTTCACCTCCTCTTAACCAGGATCCATACAAAGTTCGGAAGAGGATTAGAGGCTCTGCCTTCAAGGAGCCGAGGCTTCCTTTCGAAGGGGTGCAGGATTCATGGTGATAGGGCGTTTAGGGTTTAGGGTTTAGGGTTCAGGGTTTAGGGTCCAAGCCGAGAAATCCCTTCATGTAGATTTTCAAGACGTTACGCACACGCATGGCCTAACGGTCCAAAGTCGGGGGTCTAGTACTTGGCTGCAGGGCTTCGGGTAGAAATGTCTCCTGAACCCTAAACCCTGAACCCTAAACCCTAAAAGCAAAGGCACTCCAGAGAAGGTACACCACGGCAGCTTGCACAAAGAAGTTCAGCAAGAGGAGAATCAGTCCCTGGGCCCAGGGCCAGGGTGTAGGGATCAGGGCGGTTCAGGTCTGGGGTTTCAGGGCTTCTTGCTTGAGGGCTCAGGGCTTGGAGGATTTCGAGTCTAATGCGTTTAAGGTTTCTAGTGCAGGAAACCGGGTGATGGCACTTCCTTTTAAAGCCTTCCCGGAAACAATCTTACAGTTCGGTTGCTGGAAGACTACAGGAAGCACAAGAACCCTAAACTCCCAAACCCTGAAAGCTCCACCCTGACACCTTGGGCTTGGGCCTTGCCAATTACCTGCTTGGTGATCAGCTGCATCAAGAGAGCATTGTCATACGCAGATTTCGAAAGTGGCAGTGTCCTGGGAAGAAGCGGAGCGCTGACGAAATATCCTCTAGAGAGCGGTTGAGGGGGATACTATACTACAACTGTAAGAAGGAGCCTTAAGGAACAGTCTTTGCTGTTGTTGAAGTTTCTATGTTACCTCGCACTCGAACCATCCAAGGGCTCTGGAGACTCCGGAAATGCAGCACGCGAGGCCTGCTTTGGGTTCACTGTTTGCGCCCAGTGGCTCATATCCGAGGCAAGTCATCACGGTACAAGCTAGCTCAATCGAATTTAAGGTTGTTGAACGCTTTCAATCCTGATAACACCCTCGTAAGACCTGACCCTTATAGTGAACTGGGACATTTAGAAAACCCAAGAATAAAACCCTAAACCCTAAACCCTCACGAAGCAACTCGACACCCACCCAGCCTGTACCCCGACACTTCGCGGAAGGTCGCCGTTCCCAACATCGAGCGTCTGGTAAACCGGGTCGTCATGTGACCTGCTCTGGGAGTTTCCAGGGTTTCGGGATTTGGGTTTTATATGGGGTTTATGGTTTGGGATTTAGGCAGTATGCGGCATTATCGGGTTCTTCAGAGTTGTGGTTTGGGGACAATCAGATCCATCAATCCATCATCCATCCATCCATCCCTCCCTCCATTGAGTTTGCGGTTGGGGGCTCAATCCGCCTATCCTGAAACCCTGACCCCTGTGGTGCCTGATTTTTTCGTCAGTGCAGTTATTTGAAGGCTGCTCCGAAAACAAAAAAGAGACGAACCCTCAAAGCCCTCATCGTCCCTTTTCCGATGCGTTCGAAAATCCCTGGCCACTTTTGAACCCTGAAATTCCACCTTTTGGCTCTTCCATAGTAAACACCCTACAATCCCTCCTTCGGGGCATAAGGTTCTTAACAATTGAAACCCGAAACTGCAAACCCCAAACCCCCAAGCCCCAAACCCCAAAACCCCGAAACCCCAAAACTCCAAACCCCAGAACCCCAAGCCCACCTCCCTAAAAACCCTAAACCCTAAAAAGCTCAAAACCTTACAACCCTGAACCCCTACAAACCCTTAAGCCCTTAAGCCCCCCAAAAGCCCTAAAACCCTAAACTTTGGCCCTAAACCCTCAAACCCCAAAACCTTAAGACGCTTGAATGCCCTTGAACCCTAAAACCCCTAAAAATCCCAAACCCTTAGGCCCCTAAAACCCCTTGAAATCCCAAACCCTTAAGCCCCTACAACCCCTAAAACCCCGGAAAATCCCAAACCCTCCCAACTTCGGCCTCCGGAAAGCACCGAAGAGACCTTCGACGCCCTCGAGGCCTTCCTAGTTCATGGTTGGGATGGGATTGATAATTGTATATACAATTTTCCTTATTCGGTTTAAGTACCCCTAAACCCTAAACCCTAAAACCCTAAACCTAAACCACAAAACCCTAAACCCTAAAACCCTAAACCTAAACCCCAAAACCCAAAACCCTAAATCCCTGAACCTAAACCCCTAAACCCTAACCCCATAAAAATGTAAAATGCTACCCAACGATGACAAAGCTTCGAGGCTTTCGAGACCTTGGAGGCCCGGGCGGCCGCAGCCGGCTCGCCCGAGGGCTGCGGCTCTCCATCCACCTGGGTTTGGGGAGTTTGGGGTTTAGGGTTTGGGGTTTAGGGGTGTGGGGTTTAGGGTTTGGGGTTTAGGGGTTTAAGGGTTTAGGGTGTAGGGGTTTAGGTTTTGGTGGTTTAGGGTTTGGGGAGTTTAGGGTTTAGGGTTTAGGGGTTTAGGGTGTAGGGGTTTAGGTTTTGGGGGTTTAGGGTTTAGGGTTTGGGGAGTTTAGGGTTTAGGGTTTAGGGGTTTAGGGGTTTAGGGGTTTGGGGCTTAGGGGTTTGGGGTTTAGGGTTTGGGGTTTAGGGGTTTAGGTTTTGGGGGTTTAGGGTTTAGGGGTTTAGGGCTTGGGGAGTTTAGGGTTTAGGGTTTAGGGGTTTAGGGTTTAGGGGTTTAGGGTTTAGGGGTTTAGGGTGTCGGGGTTTAGGGGTTTAGGGTTTGGGGAGTTTAGGGTTTAGGGTTTAGGGGTTTAGGGGTTTAGGGTTTAGGGTGTAGGGTGTAGGGGTTTGAGGCTTTGGGTTTTATTAGGGTTTGATACCCACCTCTTGGAACTCAGAGGGTCTCGGTTCTTTGGGGCTTAAAGGGCTCTAGGGCTTTGGGGCTTTTGGGTTTAGGTGTTAGGGTGTGTCCACCTCTTCAAGCTGAGAGGGTTTGGGGCTTTGGGGCTTTGGGCTTTTAAATCGGGCTTAATACCTCTTGGGGCTTATAGGGTTTAGGGCTTAGGGCCTTATAGGCTTTTATAAGGATTCGGGCTTGGAGAGTTTAGGTCCCGCCTCTTCGGGCTTAGAGGGCTTGGGGCCTTGGAGGACTTGGGGTTTGGGCTGGGGTTTAGACCGACTTGTCGGGGATCATGGGGAACTAAAGGTTAGCCTTTTTGGTTATGTAGGGATTATATAGGGGCTATACTACCCAAAACGGTTAAAGGTTCTCTACTCTACTACTAGGTAGAGGGTTTAGGGCTTTTAGGGTCTAGCGGTTTATGGGGTTGCTACGTGTTGTGGGCTACAGATCTCCTGGGGAAGGTTCCTGCAAAGGCTCCTTGACAGGCTCTACAAGAGATACTACAAACAGGACATCAGAGTTCGGCACCGTGAAGAGTTCCATAGCGGTGCAGAGTTGGCTTTTGGAGCTTAGGGGCCGTATGAAGTCGAGATTCATGCTCAATCGACGTCGGGCTTGTGGTTCAACAACTTAGGGTTCGGGATCAGGCTTAGGTTTTCTCATGGTTTGGGAGGGTGAGATCTCCTTTGCATCTTGCGCCTTTTCTCTCAACACAACACGCAAACATCAGGGATCCCTAAACCCTAAACCCTACCCTGAACCATTGGGATCTATCTGAGGGGCCATGCAGGGGGGAGTTCGGAACTCCAGGAGTTGCGAGATCCGTCTGACTACCGTGGCCTGCTGGAGCCCGCGTTTGGGGGTACCGATCTTTGGGTGATTGTTGAACTTAGGATCTCTTTTGGGGTTCCCAAACTGTAGGATGCCATATTAAAGGTAATTAGAGCTATATTATGGTTCCTCAGATGGACTCTGGTTTTGACGGCTACTCATTTGGGTGCATCTCCCTCAATCTTCCGAAAACCTAAACCCTAAAGCCTAGACCCCAACTCCTAAGCTCGAAACCCCAACACCCGAAGAAAAAGTAGAAATCCTCGCTGATTGCCCCGTCTGCCCCACGTTCACTTCGAAGACCACGGTCTCAGGCTGGTCGTGATCCGCTCCATCATCCACAGTTTCCATGAGGCGCAGGTGGCCCAGCGAGTCACATGCCCACTTAGAGCTTGGGGGTTTCTAAGGCCGTTGGCTTGAAGCTGCGTAAACCAGTTCAGCATTTGGAGATATGGTACACGGTTGAGGGTTGAGGGCTTCGGGTTGAGGGGTGTAGGAGAATTCAGGTAGAACAGTTTTGTGTTCTTTCAGCTTCCTGGTCCCAACAACATAGCTGAGGTTGTCGAAACTAGCTTGATTCAGCTTGATCCGAATGAGAGTCCAGAACCCAAGGACCAGAAGATGCGCCATCCAGCAGGGAGGAGGGGCGAAAGCATGCATTCTCGTTGGCTTCTACAGTTCGGTGCTGGTATAAGCAAGGGGGAGTGGCCAGGCATTGTTTCAGTCGAGCTGCGCCATGCGACCTGTACATGCTCGCAGGATCTAAGTCTAAGTCTAAGTCTACGCGTTGATTCCTGCAGAATCGGTCTGATGAGCATGTCTCGGAGAAAATCATCAGCAAATGGTGTTTAGTCTGATCTTCTCTGCTAGTCTTTACGACTTGGGATTCTTCAAGTCTGTGGAGACATTCCCAGGAACCAGCAACTGCATAAGTCCAGAGCACTGCCCTACTACAAAGAGTCGGAGGACCACCCAAGTTTCCTTGCAAGGAAACCCTCTGCACAGGAGGCGGCGCCCAACAACAGAGGTACCCAATCTTGGCACCATCTATAGGGCCCCAAGAAGCATATAGGCAAAAATGAGTTTAGGGACATCCCATATACACCCCCTGATGTCCTCTTTGGGCCCCTGGATCTAGAAAACTTTGACCAGGGCCTTCATATTGCCAACTGCAGCAGCCAGTCGGTCTCCCAGGCTCCTAGGATACCCAGTAACCTAAGAATAAAAAGGCCTCTCTTTTTGGTATTGGGTAACTTTATAAGGAACCTAGGACTACAAAAAGGGAATAAGGGTACTACTGGGCATCCCAGGCTCTGGGTCAGATCCCCTGTGGCCTCCCCTGCGTCTCGCGCGAGGCCCTCGAGCCATGGTTTGAAGCTGCCGACCTGGGAGTTTCCGACATTATAGGGGATCCGAATAGAGTACCCTAAATAGGAGGATATAGTAGGATCCTTATTATAAGGACCCCAAAATCCGAATAGATTATAGGAGATAGTAGGATCCTTACTAAAAGGAAGGCCCCCAAAAAAGGCCCATGATGTTCGCAAACTCCCAGGACCTGGTGGCCCAGACTATCAGCGGTGAGAGCGGCTTTGTGGACTCCAACGTTGCAAATCTGCCAGGCCAGCACATAAACTGACAGAGCCAAGAGCATGTTCGCAAAGACGCCCTGCAGGCTGTCGGAGGGCCACACCTTCAGTAGAATGCCGTAGGTGCACAGTGCAGCTGCCAAAGCGACGGGCTGACGCGCGAGCCCTTCGTAGAAGAGGAAGGCCTGAAGCTCACAATCTATAAGGGTTCTACAAAGGGTTTAGGGTTTAGGGAGTTTCCGAAAATAGGGGTCCCTAACCTAGTACCATAACTAGTAAGATCCTTCAGAAGTTGATGCATTTAATGCGACACACAGTGACGTGAACCGCTGCAATACCAATCGAAAACCACAGCCCGTCCTCCGTAGCCTTCTAAGCTTAACATGTGCAGCCTAAGCTAAACACGTGAAGTACTTCCATGTTTTGGAACACAAAAACTCGACTGATCGTCTCCCTTTCGCGTTTGGCCCCATATTTCGCCTTATCCACGACCGATGCCGTGCAGACGGTCTCCAAGGAAGCTCGAGCCATTGCCCGAAAGCTGGGCTTCACGGGTGGAGCATCTTCTGATTGGTGACTCGAGAGGTCGCTTTTCTTCAGGGTGATGATGCTGCTTCCAGGGCCCCTTTCGAGTTCTCGCAGATGCTTCTGCACTTGATCCCAGGTCTGCAGGAAAGCTTCGATGGGCTCGCGAGTGCTCGGGGCCAAGTCCGATGGAAGCATCTTTTTTTCTACCAACACGGACAGGACGCCACTGAAGTTGGTGATGAAGCTCCATTGAGAAGGGGCCTTTGGAAAGTCGTCAGTTGGCTGTGTGGCAGGCCGGTCAAGCATCTCCACCAAGTCTCGATCCGCTTGCTCCAAGGCATCTTTCTCCGTCATGATCAACGCCGCTAGGTTTGCTGGAGAATCAGCGCATGTGAAAGAACAAATCTTTGTCTCGCACTCCTCGAGCTGAGTTGTTAAACCCTCTACCTGCCGCTCCAGTGACGCAACCTGTTGCGCGGTCTCCTCCGTGTCTTTCTCTGGGCGATAGAAGCTCACAGTGACGTCCAAGTTTACCCCGGGAGTTGAAGTGAAGTCAACGTTAAGGACGCCTTCAGCTGGATCTTCTGTCCGAATTTGTTTCTCGTAGTCTCCACCTCTGATCTCATACCTGGAGAACCACGCTGCTCTGTAGCCCAGCGTCTCGCGAGCAGAGTGCTTTCCCCATCCCCAACCTCCTCCAAGGAAGCATAAGACCCACCAGCCCGAGGTCGGGTATGACTTTTTCACCTCTCTGGTGGCAATGACTCTGGGAGACTCGGAAATCTTCAGTCTTGCGATCCTTCTCTGAGCATCGTTCTTCTGCAGAACAATCCCTTCCTTCTTCTCACGGAGGGCAGAGAGCATGTCGCGTTGAACCGATTGCCAGTCGCTGTCAATGGCCTGACAATCAAACGCAGCCATGTCAAGAGACACAAAGCCATCACATGAACATGAATACAGGCAGAAACACTCCAAAGAAGACATGTCGTGGACAGTCTGCGATGTGATGCGCCGTTCTTCTGGAATGCAATAAGCACTTCAGAAACGTTTTAGGGTTTAGGGTTGGCCCGGCCATGGAGTCCCGGCCTGCAACCTCTCTTTGTGCTTCTCCTTGAGGTGCAGGAGCCTCTGCAGATGGTCCGATCTCTGATGCAAGATCTCGGTGTAGCTTTTCCCATCGAGACGGCTGTCCGGCTCGGTTGCCAGTTTCGCGAAGATTTGTAGCACCTCCACGCATCAGGACTTCCAAAAAGATGCAGTGGCGAAGTCTGGGGGGGCTTCCCCGCTTCCGCTACGACTGCGTGTTGGCAAGAGACATGGATCTGAAGAGAGAAAACAGGAGCAAAAATTAAAACCGAAACGAATGTTCCTCTTTCGACGGACCTCCAGACTTCGAGTTGGTCGTGTGGACACAATCTCTCCCAGCACGCGTCTGGTCATCGGTTTCGAAGCTTCAATCATTTCCTGAACAGCCACGCGCTGTCTGTCTGACTTCTCTGGAGTATCTGGGAAGCACACGTGAACACGACCGGTTGCATCGGATAATGTTTCCAAGAAGGTCAGAAGGGCAGTGTGTTCTGCAAAATCCGGATCATCAACAATGGCCTGGGCATTAACACCTGTGCGGCGTTGACAGAAAACATTGAACAGCTCCTTCTGCTCAGCAAACTGTGCCTTGGCGATCTGGATAATGTTCTCAGCTTTAACCTTGTCTCCATCCTCATACGCATTGGTAAAAAGGAAGATCATGGAGTCGTAGAAATGCTTCGAGGCTTGTCCACTGCCCGTGATGGGGAGCAGGGATTTCGCCATTGCACGGACGCCGTGGCCCCGTTCTGCCACCAAAGTTCGAAAATCCATGACCAAAACAACCTCGAAAAGTCAACCGAGAAAAAACATGAACAATCACACGAGAAGCCATCACAGAAACACTTGTGCCGTGGCTTTATGCTAAAATAGTGCAACTAGGACACCGATTTGATTTTCGGCAAGAGGGAGAAGCTTGTAGCCAAACTCCACTGCGTCCACGCGCGATGCGTCCCTGTACGATCTTCATTCAAACCCGCCGTGTCCAGATAGGTGTAGCCGCCATACCTCTCTTCCGCAATGTACAAGCCCATGTTGAGCGTCTTCGAGGTATAGCCATCCGCAGTCTGTGGCCTTCGGTTGTCTGCCTGCACGCACCTGTAAACCTTCTTCAACCTCCCATGCACCTGCAACTCGCACGGCTTGGGCTCATTTCACAATTTATCCAACGAACTAAATGCTTTAACGCGAGCCTACAAGCGGGAAACAGGCTCAGAAAGCCACATGATACCCTGGGATTTGATGGTAGCTTACAAATTACGGCTTCCGATACTGTTCCATGTTGACCCGTGCCCGTTGCTCCACCTCCTCCTTCACTGCTTCATACCTGGCGCCCGTCTGGATGGCGATGGTGGTGCTCTTTCCTGCACCCATCGGCCCCACCACCAGCACGGCCGAAGCTGTGCTATCCACCATTTTTCGGAAGCTGTTGCCATTGATCATCACCTGGCAGCTTCGGCCAAACATATTCGTTAGTCGGAGTCATCTTTGAACCGAAAACTGTGAAACATAACCCAACCCTAAACCCTAAAGGCTAAAGGCCCTAAACCCAAAACACATGACCCAACCGTTGCCGGCAGCGGCGCCTTCCAAAGATCCAGATCCACGTTGGAGCAAGCCATGGCGCCGAAGGTTTAGAGCGAAAAACGCCGTCAGTCACTACATTCATGTCAGAGTCGGTTTAGGGTTTAGGGCCTACTCTGATTCAACATGCAATGTGAATGTAACTTTCGATCCTGAGGTTTAGGATCCAGGCTTGTGAAAATTGGAACCTTCTCGAATGTGGGAGTTTCCGAAAATTAGGGGTACCTGATTTTGGGGTCCTTATAATAAGGATCCTATTATTTAGGGTATTTTATGAAGGTCCCTCATTTTCGAAAACTCCCATGTAACTTGAAGAAGCATAGAAGGTTGAGAGGCACCCAGAGGCGCCCGGGCCCAAAGCATCCTCTGCTGTCCGCCGCTGCTTGGGCCCGAACGACGCTCTTCCGCGCATCCGTCGAAGCAATGAACTTTCTGATTGCCGGTATGATACAAGATGACATAAAATGAAACAACATGATACAATATGCTGAACATGTACATCTACATGTACTTATACATATACTTATACATATACATATACATATACATATAAATATATACATATATGCACATATGTACAAACAAACAGTGAAGTATGCAATGTGATATGCAAAACTTGAAGCCTCGATCTTCCTGACTTCAGCTGCAGCCTTCCTTTTAACGTAAAAGCCAGAAAGTTGGAATATGATTATCCTAAGCCCTTTATGGTAAATTATCTGGTATCCTACCCTGAAACCATATTCCAGCTTTCTGGAGTTCCTTTTACCCACCAGAGACCCGCGGCTCGATCGAGGCTCTGCGCCCGGACCTCAGGCCAGAGCTTAACGAGCGCAGGGCAGCAAGGATGTGGGTCGCTCTTGCTCTCGAAAACTCGGGTCTCTTTTAAGGTTCCTTCAATGATTATTGTTATTATTATTATTAGTATTATTATTATTATCAACGGACATCAGTCGGTCGTTTGCATGAAGCACTCATTGGCGCACGTGAAACATGAATGGAAACAAACAAGAACCTAACCTGCAAAGGGATCTATACGGCTTTCTACAAGGGTGCTGTAAGGGTAGTTCCCAAAATTAGGGTCCCGTTTAGGGTCCCTTGCTATTATAGCTAGCGACCTAAACAAGGACCCTGGTTTCGAGAACTACCCACGTATTTTGGTGCCTCTCGAATTCTGTTAAGCTGCTCGGACCCGGGCAACTGGTGTCGGACGACTTTGACGCACCTGGCTCAAGAAGAGCTGATCCCATCAGGGGGGCTCAGGCTTCTCGGTGGTCTGCGTCTTTAGAGCTTGGGATTTCCCGGCTTCAAAGATTTGAGGGGTCAAAGGGGATTGAAGATTCCTGGCGTTCGTGCTTTGGGGCCTTAAGTGCTTTGGGGGAGGCCCTAAACGTTGAACCCTAAGCCCTAAACCCAAAATTCTAAACCCTAAACCCAAAACTAAACCCTATACCCCTAAACCCTTTTCTCGCACATTGAGATCTGAGGGCCTCGCGGGCACCCCTCGGACCTTGTGCTCTGTGAAACGTGAGACGTCGACTCATCAAGAAACTCCGGGTTCCTTTTTGGGCTCTTCGGGTCTTTAGGGTTTAGGGGGCTCTTTGGTAGGGTTTAGGGTTCAAGGCTTTTCTGTTGAAAGCCCTTTTTCCGCCTGACAGTGAAGCTCAGCAGATTCCACGTTTCGTGGAAGGGTTCAGGGCCTAGGGTTTAGGACTTAGGGCATGTGGTCCTTTTGTGGGGCTCTTAGGGTCATAGGTTCTATACTTGAGGGTTTGGTAGTAAGGTTTAGGGTTTAGCGCACGGCATTGGGTTTAGATGGCCTAGGTTTTGGGGTCAGGGCTTGTAGGGTTTAAGATTGAATCCTTTGGCTCTCTGAATATTGAACCTTCTGCTCTTCTTCGGGCTGTGAACTGTGAACATGGATCTTGTTATGCTCTGGATATTGAACCCGTGGTTTCTCAATCAAGGTCGCAGTGTGGCCCCTGACTATTTTCCCCCCCTCTTTAAAATCTTACGAGTGGTGGGAAGGTTCTCCTCACTTGTGGGAACCCAAGAACACAGCAACCTAAACAACGACCATAAGGCCTAACACCTAAACCCGCAACTCCTAAATCCCCAAACCCCACAACCAATAAATCCTAAAAAGCGTTTATGTTTGGCTGCTTTAACTCCTCACTTGCGCTCCTCCTCCAACTCCAGCAGCTTGGCCTCTCTTTGGGGACCCCACGCCTGCCGCAGCCTGGCCTTGCCCTCCGCGTTCTCCGAGATGCCTGGGGCTCTGTAGGCTTCATACCAAGGCCCCCCCGGAAACTTTCGAAACCTAAGGCCCTACGAAAGAGGTTTAGGGTGCAGATATATAATATAATATATATATATATATATATATATATATATATATATTATATATATAACATATAACATATTAAATATGTATTATAATATAACATAATATAAAATAATAGAATATACATTGTATATGTATATATGTAGATATATATACATATATATATGTATAATATAAGCTCTAAACTTCCTAAAACCCAACACAGGGGTGCAGAGTTCCCTAAGCCTTAATGGAAGGTTTCGAGTTTAGGGGTTCAGGGCTTTGTGCTCAGGTCTGAAGGGCTTCGGGGTTTATTGCTTGGGGGCCTCAACTCGTTTTCAACTCCTGAAACCAAAAATCAGAACCCCCCCCACCACCACGACAGCTAGGCCGAGATCCCGACTAAGAAACTAAGGTACCCCAACAAGTGTACTGCATTCCGGTCGAAGCAAACTAGCTTCTGGGCTGTTTTGCCAACCTAGGCCGTAGGCCTTTCAAGAGAGAGAGAGAGAGAGAGAGAGAGAGAGAGACAGAGAGACGTGGGTCTTTTCTGGGGTCCCCGCCGGTGCGCTGCAGGCGCAGCCTTTCGAGCTTCGGGCAGCGCCGCAGCAGCTCCAAAACCTGCTTGATCCCAGCCTGGCAAGAGAGAACTTCGAAGAGTTTTTAAGTTTAGGGAGATCACTTCAGAAGGCTTTTAGGGTTGAAAGGGAAACCTAGAGGGCTGTTTGGGGGGGTTCCTTTAAGAGGGGAAACCTGGGGGTTTTCGGGGGCTCCTTTAATGGGGAATCCCTCGGGGCTTCAAGATCCCGTCCTGGTCCTGGCAAGAGAAACTGCGAAGGGTTTAAGGTTCTGCAAAAAGGCCGCCCAACATCGATATGCCACCCGCTCAACTCAACACAGCAGGTTTGGAGGTTTAAGGTTTAGGGGATAGGGGATAGAGTTGAGTTTTGGGGGGGCAGCGAGTTTAGGGGATTGGGGGTTTAGGGCCTGGGGAAGTTTGAGGGAGTCAGGCTTCAGGGCTCGTAACTGAGCAAGATGTCCCTTACGTGGTGATTGCATTTCTGATATCGTTACGGATGATTCCCCAACGAAAGCTGACTAATCAAGGTCGACTGAAAACATCCAGGGATCTCTCGCTCATTTTCGAGTCTCTCTGTCGCTATCGCTCCCTCTTCTCTGAGCTTGCAGCCGGCCTCGGTCTTGCAGAGTTCCTTGTTGTCGTTCAGGTTCAAATACTTCAGCGGCAGGTCCTCCTCGCGCAACAGGGCTACGCTGCCCCACCCCAATCACCCCAGTAACACCCATCATCTCTCCTTCTCCAGACGCCAGAGGAGCTCCTTCTCTAAAATCTCCGGGGTGATCTGCATAAAGTTCACGTGCGCCTGCGAGGTCCGCGCCAGGATGGCAGCGAGCAGACGCCACTTCTTGGCTTTCCCCGGTGCCACGGAGAGCTCCGCGTCGTCGCCTGAGTATAAGCGCCCTGGTTTTGCACCGGAAGAAAAAGAGAGCTCGGGTCTTTGTGACTCTAAGGGCATGGCTGATGGGCCCCTGCGCCAGGGCTTCGATGATGTCCTCTGAGCCCTCCTGCACCACAAGACCTCAGCAGAATGGAAGTTAAAACGTTCCTGTTGAGGGAGGTCCTGCCGGCCACGGACAGCACCTGTGGTTGCAAAGCTACACCCAAGAGGCACGGCAGGATTTCGCGGTCTCGTGAAGGCATCTTGCACGACGTGGCAGAAACTTACCTGGGCTTCCTGGTGTACACCTCCTGAAAGCCTAAACTTAAACCTGGCTCCCTAAGCCCCAAACCCTATTTTGCTGTGCAGATGTGAACTTTCACTGGGCGTCCCGACGCTTGAATACCGCAGCTTCTAGATTCTTCAAGCCTTGGCTTTGCTCTGCCTCCACCTGCCGCCGTCGCTTCCGGGCTTACGGATTTGGGGCTGTACATCCACATACATACACGTACTGGTACACGCATACATACATACATACATACATGCATGCATATGTCTATCTTTCTATTATGGGCATGGGGTTTTCAGGTTTAAAGAGTTTATAGGATTTAGGTTTGGGTTCAAGGCTCCGGGTTAGCGTCTCGCTTTTTTGATCTTCTTGGCTTGGGCCTCCTCGCAAAGAGCTGCCGCGGCGCCGCTGCGCAGCTCCAACGAGCTCTCCTACGGGCACTCTAGGGTTGAGGGTTCAGGGCTTTAGGGTTTAGGGTGTTAGGGTTTAGGGTTGAGGGTTTAGGGTTAAGGTTCTTGATTTTAAGTATTAGGACTGATAGGGTTCCCGTTCAGTGACTACAGGCTACAGGGTTCTATGATAGGGTCTCCCCTTACGGGGGATGGTGCTGTTTCACACCACATCTCAGATTCGGTGCTTTCCCACCTCGTCCAAAGCCACGCAGGCGAGGGCGGCCGAGCCCACTGCCGGGCGCCACCAACAGCATTCCCGCGCCCGGCTGAAGTCCCGCAAGGAGGTGTTGACCCAGGCCAAGCCTTTCGCGGCCTCGTGGGCAAGTTTTGCAAGGATCCGAACAATAATCGAAATGCTGCTCTGCTCTGCCGCGGGCCTCCATGCAGAGGACGAAAGGGCGCACCATGTAGATGGTAGCTACTTGTAGCCATGTCGTCAGGACACAGAGGAAAACCAGCAGCGAGGGAGCTTTCATGGTCAAAGAGACTGCCGTGCCGATGGTGGCCTCAGCTTTGCATT